ATAAAGAGTATGTGACCCATGGAGGTCACAGGCACATCTAAGGGACAGTTATTCACTCCACAGAACACTTTTGAAGGTTGATTTTTGCAATCAGATTGAAACAGAATGGGACCTTCTGGTCCGTGCCCCTGTGTCCTCTGTCTGCTTTTTATTTATGGAAAAACTTAAGCCAAGGACTAAATTTAATCAGAGAAATGTTCTGTTCTCTTCTGAAAACAGTCAGAGGAGATCAAATAATAATAATGTAGTCATTAAGCATAGTCAAGTTCATCTCACACACGAGCAAAGTAATGCTCAAAATTCTCCAAGCCAGCCTTCAACAGTACATGAACCGTGAACTTCCAGATGTTCAAGCTGGATTTAGAAAAGGAACCAGAGATCAAATTGCCAACAACCTCTGGATCATCAAAAAAGCAAGAGGGTTCCAGAAAAATATCTACTTTTGCCATCTAGTTTTGCTTTATTGACTACACCAAAGCCTCTGACTGTGTGGATCACAACAAACTGCAGAAAATTCTTAAAAAGATGCAAATACCAGACCACCTGACCTGCCTCCTGAGAAATCTGTATGCAGGTCAAGAAATAACAGTTAGAACTGGACATGGAACAACAGATTGGTTCCAAATCGGGAAAGAAGTATGTCAAGGCTTATTTATAAGCCTTATATTGTCACCCTTCTTATTTAACTTATATGCAGAGTACATCATGTGAAATGCCGAGCTGGATGAAGCACAAGCTGGAATCAAGATTGCTGGGAGAAATATCAATAACCTCAGATATGCAGATGACACCACCCTTATGGCAGAAAGCAAAGAAGAACTAAAGAGCCTCTTGATCAAAGTGAAAGAGGAGAGTGAAAAAGTTGGCTTAAAACAACATTCAGAAAACTAAGGTCATGGCATCTGGACCCATGACTTCATGGGGAAACAAGGGAAACGGTGAGAGACTTTCTTTCTTGGGGCTTTGAAATCACTGCAGATGGTGACTGCAGCCATGAAATTAAAAGATGCTCGCTCCTTGGAAGGAAAGCTATGACCAACCTAGACAGCATATTAAAAAGCAGAGACATTACTTTGCCAACAAAGGTCTGTCTAGTCAAAGCTATGGTTTTTCCAGTAATCATGTATGGATATGAGAGTTGGACCATAAAGAAAGCTGAGTGCCGAAGAACTGATACTTTTGAACTGTGGTGTTGGCGAAGACTCTTGAGAGTCTCTTGGACTGCAAGGAGATCTAACCAGTCAATCCTAAAGGAAATCAGTCCTGAATATTCATTGAAGGACTGATGCTGAAACTACAATACTTTGGCCACCTGATGCGAATAACTGACTCATTTGAAAAGACCCTGATGCTGGGAAAGATTGTAGGCAGGAGCAGAAGGGGATGACTGAGGATGAGATAGTTGGATGGCATCACCGACATGATGGGCATGAGTTTGAGTAGGTTCTGGGAGTTGGTGATGGACAGGGAAGCCTGGCGTGCTGCAGTCCATGGGGTCACAGAGTTGGACACGACTGAGCCACTGAACTGAATTGACCAATTTGAAGATGACTGTCAGAGTTGACTGTACTGTTTCTTCATGAACCCTCCTTCTGTCTGTCAAAGCTCTTACCTGCTGCTTGTTGGGGGCAGGGGTGGGGGTGGTGAGCTGGCCTTTGGATAGGTGTTCAATCTCCTGTCCTGCCCCCCACCCTAGTTGCAGGCACTTGAAATAAAGCAAACTTTCCTTTCCAGCAACCCCACCTGTTTATCAGTTTTTGAGAGGCGAGCAGCTGGACCCCACCTTTTGGTAACAAGATGACCACTTTAAAATCACATATTTAAATTAACCAAACTCTTCCTCTGATACCAAGATGCTGGTATCTAAGACACCCAAACCACATTTTTCCAATTTCTATTAAAATATAATTTTATGAATTCTAATATATTGTGAATATAACAGTATACACTGAGGAAATTCAAAAATAAAGATTATGAAGCATGTGAAAAAAACAAACCAAAAAAAAACCCCACAGAGGATTAGTACCATGAAGGGTTTTAGAAATCAATAAGAAAAAGATAGATATTAGAAACACAAGCAAAGGATAAGAATAAGCATTTTCTTAAAAGAAAACAGACTAACCAACTAACTAATGAAAAGATGCTCAATTTCATTTGTAATTAAGAAATATAAATTTAAAATGAGATATTTCACAACTCTATATTAATTGTATAACATATACACACACATACTTTGTAAAACTGAATTGTAGTTAAGCACAACTCTTGTCAAGCATAAATTTGCCACATTAAACGATAACGTTTAGTAAAATCAGAGGACATTTTTAAGGTAAAATTTCCAATAAAGGCATACAATTAATCCCAGAGATTAGAAGCCCAAGGGAGAAAATGAAAGTTGTAGAAAGAAACCTGCAAATAAATAACCAAATGACATTCAGGAAAAAACAAAAAAAGACTCAACTGGTACTGCCAGAGATTGGATATTTCTTAAAACAACTATTCCGGGATGAGAAGTGGATTTTCATGTGAGATAATGCAGCAGAAGCTCAGCACACGTCAGCTTATACACATTCAGAGTACTCTTTTTTTTTTTCAAAAATTATTTTTCTGGAACCACTCTCAGTACCAAATTCTGTATCAATCAGAATTCAAACAGAGGCCAAACCAGTGAGGGAGGGGGGTGGGTGGGTGGATGGATGTGTGTGTGTTTGTGTGTGTGTAGACATGGCTTATACAAATGTGGGAGCTGGTTAAGCAGGCTCTGTAGGGCTGTTGACAACGGTGGGTGGGTGGGTGGGTGTGTGTGTGTGTGTGTAGACACGGCTTATACAAATGTGGGAGCTGGTTAAGCAGGCTCTGTAGGGCTGTTGACAACATACCTGATTCTGGAGCTCGACGTCCACAGGGTAGGCAGGCAGGGCAGATCTGGGGCAGGCTCAAACCCAGAGGCCCAAGCTGGCACTGCACAAGAACCTGGCATCCTGAAGAAGCCAGGGCCCTCCATCATGGCGCTACACACACACTGGGCCTGAGGAACTTCATCACGGAGCTAAACACACACCTGGCCCAGAAGTTGCATCATGGCACTGATCACACACACCTGGCCCAGGTACCCATCCTGCAGCTAAACCCACATAGTGGTCCCAGGAACAAGAGCAGCTGATGGGATCCAGGGGAACACAGAGCAATTGCAGGCCTAGCTGCTGCTTCACACCAACAAGGTGAATCAGCAGTTCAGCAATAGCGGATAGGAGCTACACCATGGCTGCCGCTTCTCTTTGCCTTCCAAATCTCTTAAGAATCTCCACCGTGGTCCACCTTAAACAGAAACATGCAAGAAAGGGAATTCTGAGAACTGTAGTTCAGCCTAGTCAAATTGACACATTCTTTAATGGCTATGTGTTTCTTCAGACTCTACTATTGCTCTTGAATTAGCTGTAGCAAATTCTTTTTTTCCCTAGGAAAATCATGCATCATGATCAGAAAATGTAGTATCTTTGTTATTGATTGCTTAGTGTTTGAGATATGTTTTGTGGTCTAATACATGACCAGTTTTTATAAATGTTCCATATGAGCTTGAAAATAATGTGTATTCTCTAAAACTGATTGCAGAATACATATACACATAATCAGGTAAATTAATTAGGTTGTCCAATCTTCTATACACAAGTTTTTTATGCAAGTGATCAATTACTGACAGAGGTATATTAAAAATCTCCCTCTATCAATTTCTCCCAGCAGTTATGTCAATTTTTGCACTATCAGCTTTAAAACTCTATGTTTTTAGATGCATAATTTTATAACTATTATATCTTCCTGGTGAATCAATCCTTTTAGCATTCAGTAATGACCTTTGGGGAGAGGAAATGGCAACCCACTCCAGTATTCTTGCCTGGGAAATACCATGGACAGAGGAGCCTGGCAGGTTACAGACCATGGGATCACAAAGACTTGGACATGACTGAGCAACTAAGCAACAATGACCTTTTTATCCAAATGATATTCTTTTCTAAAGTCTATCCTAACCAAATATAATATTGTTAAATAAAGCTAATATTGTTTAAACCATAGTAATAATATCATATAATAGCAATTTAATTATGCTCTGTTTTTCCCCTTGCCTTTGGGGTTTTTTTTTTTACTTACCTGCCAGCTCAGCAATGCATTTCTAAAAGATAATTGTTACACGTGATCCATTATTTCTGGTGTGTGTAGCAGGCAGGCATATTGATATCTAATCTGGCATACTGATAGATCCTGAAGTTCCCAAACTTAGAGGAAAATGAAACATGTACTCACCTTTAGTAGAAATCTCTTGTTTGATACCAGAATGGCAGAATAAACCTCACAATGTATGTACAACCAAGCCCTATCTTACCAATGAAGGTGTCAAACTATATTAATTATAGGGTTCCATCTGGATGTATTCACTTTTTATCTCCAATAGACAAGAAGAATTATGCTTTTTCAAACAATACACTCCAACAGCCTCCCCCAAGATTTTGATATGGCCCCCATCCCTGAAGTGTGGTTCTCCCACAACAGAAAATCACCGGTTTACGGTATCTCCAAAGAAGATTACAGTTTAAAGATGGAAACACTTTATTCCATTAATAGTTTGGTATTCCTCCTCCCATCCCTCAGCCACTCACAGATGCTGTACTTTCTCTGGTGTTCTGTGGGTTCTTTTCAATGTTTCCAAACTGCTCAGGTCTCCTGGTTAGGTGGCATCCAAGAGACCAACATGAGGCTCAAATTCAGTTTCTACTTGACAATGTGGGACTCCCACTACTGGAGTCAAATTCTATAAGCTGACATTTAACCTAGTCTTACCAACAACAACTTATTAGGGACTTATAATACCCACATTGTACATCTGCTTATGGCATAAATTGGGGTCTACTTCTCTCTACTGATGAGTATGGATTTCAAGGGTCATGGTAAGGACTGTGTCAGAGATTTGGGCCAACTATTTCAAGGAGGGAAAGCCTTAATTCTTGTTATGCAAGCTTGTTGTCTGATTTGTTCAACTTGTCAAATTTATGCACTACATAGAAAGCCTTTAAAAACTCATTAAAGTCAATGCTTCCATCTTTGTTTAAGTCCATCCTTTCAGCGAGCTCATCAAACTGGGAATCATCAATATGGACACTGTAGTGACTTTTGAAAAGTTTCCACATGCTACGAAATTCTTCCATGGAGATCAGGCCTGAAAGAATATAGGAGAAGGCTGTGAATATTGATTTTTAAGACCCATCCTAGGGAGGGGTGGGGTTCCCCAGGGGGCCCAGTGGTAATGAATTCGCCTGCAATGCAGGACACATGAGTTCAATCCCTGAGTCAGGAAGATCCCCTGGAGAAGATGACAACTCCAGTATTCTTGCCTGGAAAATCCCATGGACAGAGGAGCCTGGCAGGCAACAGTCCATGGGGCGGCAAAAGAGTCGAACATGACTTATTGACTAAGCAACAACAAAAATGCCTGGCTGTTGAGAAACTGAAGGAAATGGAAAAGTAAGATTGTAAATGTAAGAAACAATATGCCAGTTTAAATTACCAAGTAATCCTGAGATTATTCTAAAGCTGGAATGAGTAAACAGTGAACCAAAGGTGGGGGAGGGGACTGCAGACTGTGGTACTAATACATGTAATGTAGAAATTACAAGATCTAAAACCTAAGGGCAAGGGACATGGAAGGAGGGTAGAGAGGAGAGCTACATCAAAGGAAAGGGAAAATTAGCCCTGAGACTCAATAAGAGGATTGTAAACAATGGCTCCACCATTTTCTATAGGCAGTAACTTACTTTTGTGTTTTGATTAATGATTTTTTGGTATTTAATGCTCTCTGCAGTTGAGGATTATCTGATATTTTTTAAAGCTTGAAAATAAATAATTGTGCATCAAACTTAAGCAGAAAATGAGTTTTCATAGTCTTCAGTCCAAAAACCAGAATCAGAACTCTAGGAATGATTTTTATTGCTAGGAATAATTATGATTTTTAAATGGACAGTTAATTCTTTTTTCATCTGTGCTGGTGATTTATAAAAGGAGCTGGTCTTATCTGACTAATGGATACATAAGCCTGTACCATATGGATTTGAATAGAGAGTTTGTGGCCAAACTAAAAAAAACAGTAATATTAAACATGAGTTTATCCCCATGCTCTCCCTCTTCCCTGAGTTAAATCAAGTTTGGATAAATAATGCATTAGATGAAAACAGAGTTCTGGTTTCAAATAAACAGACTAGCCTTTGCTTTCTACTGCTACTGAACCAATCAAAGCAAATTTACCTGAGTGATCAGAGTCAATGATATTAAAGATGATTTGCAGGTCAGATCGGTATCTGTACACTGTTTCAATTAGAGTAGACTGAACCTAAAATAAAGATTGTCTAAGTGTTAAAACATATAGAATTAATAACAGATCAATTTTATTTTATTTTTATTTTTTTTTTTTTAACAGATCAATTTTAGTAAAAGTAACAAACACACAACATGGTCACCAATTCATAGTATGTGATTTAGATAGAAATTTGAGAAGGCAAGCCATCCTTGGAGACCCAACCCTTTTAAATCAGATAAAAGACCATGCTCTTGGGTTCTGTAGTGTCTGCAGCCTGTGTTCTTCAGGGGATGGTCCAAAGTGAATCTGGAAGGAGTAAATAACAATAGCCAATATTTACTGATAGCACCTGTTTGCCAGTCTCTGCATTGAGAGTGTCTATGGATTATTTCATTCAGTCCTCAACAATAGGCCCAAGGAACACAACTATTATTGTGCCCATTTTACAGACTGGAAGACAAACAGGTAAAGTTAGTTTCTGAAGGTTCACATAATTAGTAAGTGGGATTTAAATCTTGGCCTGAAGCCAAGGCCTATGAGCTTAGTCACCATGGTAAACTGTCTCTCAAGTGAAGCCAAAAGTCTCCTTCCTGTGGATATTTTAGCTTCCCATGTGCACGTTTACTTCCTTTTCTCTGATCAACTTTTCATCTCCCCTGCAAACAATCACCCCAGTCCTAGATCCCATCAGCTCACTTTCAGCCCAATATTGTAGTTGCTGATAAGTACCGAAGGTCTGACAATTCTCCCTGGGGTATTCCCATTTTAATAAGAAATTCTAAATTTTAAAATTCTTAATGTATAAGATATCATATCAGTAAGTCTATACTTTGTTGTTGTTGTTCAGTCGCTCAGTTGTGTTCAACTCTTTGCAACCCCATGGACTGCAGCACACCAGGCCTCCCTGTCCTTCACCATCTCCTGGAGTTTGCTCAAACTCATGTCCATTGAATCAGTGATGCCATTCAACCATCTTATCCTCTGTCGTCCCCTTCTCCTCCTGCCTTCAATTTTTCCCAGCATCAGGGTCTTTTCCAATGAGATGGCTTTTCACATCAGGTGGCCAAAGTATTGGAGCTTCAGCATCAGTCCTTTCAGTGAACATTCAGGGTTGATTTCCTTTAGGATTGACTGGTTTGATCTCCTTGCTGTTCAAGGGACTCTCAAGAGTCTTCTCCAACACCACAGTTTGAAGGCATAAATTTTTTTGACACTCAGCCTTCTTTATGGTCCAACTGTCACATCCGTACATGACTCCTGAAAAAGCCATAGCTTTGACTAGATGGACCTTTGTCAGCAAAGTGATGTCTCTGCTTTTTACTACACTGCCTATGTTTGTCATTGCTTTTTGTCCAAGGAGCAAGCATCTTTTAATTTCATGGCTGCAGTCACAGTGATTTTGGAGCCCAAGAAAATAAAGTCTCTCACTGTTTCCATTGTTTCTCCGTCTATTTGTCATGCAGTGATGGGGCCGGATGCCCCATGCCATGACCTTAGTTTTCTGAATGTTGAGTTTTAAGCCAGCTTTTTCACTCTCTTTCAACTTCATCAAGAGGCTCTTTAATTCCTCTTTGCTTTCTGCCATAAGGGTGGTATCATCTGCATATCTGAGGTTATTGCTATTTCTCCTGACAATCTTGATTCTAGCTTGTGCTTCATCCAGCCCAGTGTTTCTCATGATGTACTCTGCATATAAGTTAAATAAGCAAGGCGACAATATACAGCCTAGACACAGTCCTTTCCCAATTTTGAATCAGTCCATTGTTCCATGTCCAGTTCTAATTGTTGCTTCTTCATCTGCATACAGGTTTCTCAGTAGGCAGGTAAGGTGGTCTGGTATTCCCATCTCTTGAAGAATTTTCCACAGTTTGTTGTGATCCACACAGTCAAGGCTTTAGCATACTCAATGAAGCAGAAGTAGATGTTTTTCTGGATTTCTCTTGCTTTTTCTATGATCCAAAGGATGTTGGCAATTTGATCTCTGGTTCCTCTGCCTTTTCTAAATCCAGCTTGTACATCTGGAAGTTCTTGGTTCACATACCACTGAAGCCTAGCTTGAAGGATTTTGAGCATTACTTTGCTAGCATGTGAAATGAGTGCAATTATGCGGTAGTTTGAACATTCTTTGGCATTGCCCTTCTTAGGGATTGGAATGAAAACTGACTTTTTCCAGTCCTGTGGCCACTGCTGAGATTCCCAAATTTGCTGGCATATTGAGTGCAGCACTTTAACAGCATATCTTTTAGGATCTGAAATAGCTCAGCTGGAATTCCATCACCTCCATTAGCTTTGTTCATAGTGATGCTTCCTAAGGCCCACTTGACTTCACACTCCAGGATGTCTGGTTCTACGTGAGTGATCATGCCACTGTGGTTATCCATGTCATTAAGATCTTTTTTGTATAGTTCTTCTTTGTATTCTTGCCACCTTTCTTAATATCTTCTGCTTCTGTTAGGTCCATACTGTTTCTGTCCTTTATTGTGCCTATCTATGCCCGAAATGTTCTCTTGGTATCTCTAATTGTGTTTCTTGGTATCTATACTTACCGGCAGTTAATAGGAGTGTGTTGAGTGTTTTAAAAAGTGTATTACATGAAAGACAGATTTCATATCTGTTCTTCTGCTGAACAGCACTTAAGACAAGAATCACATATTTGACAGAGATTTGCTTGCAGAAACTTTTTCATCTCTTCTCATTTTGGCTATCCTTACAACACACAGATTTCCTGAACAGATCACAACGTACCTGGAACACCACCCTTAGCTCTTTTCCTAAGATTGCCATGCCCATCCACTAGCCAATTCCTCTCCCAACTTTTCAAAGAACTAAGGAACTCATAAGTTGTCCAGAGGATATTCGGTGCCAGCAAGGTTTTAACTGGTGCTGTTTCACTTACCTCTTTCACAGGTTTCTGAATGTGGACATCCTGGAAGCCAGACATGTAGTCAATATTTCCATCTTCGTCTGTGGTTACAAGATGAGAACTCAGTGATCTCCATGGTAAGTTCAGCCCCAAAACATTCTCCATTGAAAAAGCCCACTGGCCCATAGAAAGTTTTCCTAACAACAACAACAACAACAACAAAGCCCATATAATTAGTTGATAAGTTGATTTTTAAAAAATGCAACCTCACCAATGGAGCAAGCAGACAGTCTGGGTTTTGAGGCCTGGGTGCCTCTGCTACCCTTTATCATCTGTCTACCAGACCCCACAGTTCTGAGAGAAGATTAACTAAAGAAAGCCTTAGGGGTTCCATGGATCTTTTCCTTACTGTTATGGGTAAGCAATCAGAATTTGGGTATGCTAGATATTTTTCCCTTTTTCTTACTAACAAAGTAAGGTATAATTATAATAGAAGATTTGAAAACACAAAAGGATATAAAAGATAAGATTACTTTTAACATTTGAGCATATTGCTCATGTCTCATTTTCTTAGGTAATATCCTTTCATCCTCTAATATTACATGTAGTTTTTCAAAATATACTTTTGCTTTCTGATTATTAAAGATATGTTCATTTGAAAGGATTTTCAATAAACAGAAAACATTACTATTTGTACTGTTTTTCTATGTATATAAACATGGATATATATAAAGGTACAATATTTTATATTTCTTTTTTTTCAATATTTTATATTTCTTAAAGCCAAATATACATTGTACCATATGTTTCATATATGTGTATTACATATGGCAACACACACATACACAATAAACAGATATTCTAACCTGATTCTTTACTTACAATCATGGATATGCATCTATGTTAGTAAACATAAACCTCCATCATTCTTTTAATGGCTGTGAAATTATTCCATTATTTTCTTAGGATCATTCCTAGAAGTAGAATTGCTATATCTAAAGGTATGTACATTTTAAGGCTTCTGATATATTTTGCCAAACTGCTTTCAAGAAAGAGTAGTCATTTGATACCCCCACCAAGACCATTCACCACACACTTACCTGCTAAGGACAAAGGTTATTTAGAAGTGTATTCCTCATTTCCAAGCCCAAGGTGATTTTCTAGCTACCTTATGTAATATAAATTGTAGCTAATTTCACTATGTCAGATAATTTATTCTATATGTTTCCAATACAAAATTTGTAGAGATTTGCTTTATGTTCCACTTAATGGTCCAACGTAAATGTTCCATTTATGCTTGACAAGAATGTATATTCTGCAATGCTGGATGGAATTCGACATATGTCTTTTAGGGAAAGTTTGTTAAACTTTTATCTGTTTATACTTTCAGTTCCTGAGAGAAGAGTGTTAAAATCTCCCACTGTGACAGTAGATTTTTCAACTTCTACTTGTTCAGTCCATTTCTGTTTTACATAGTTTTTAGGGAGACTATAAAAATAGGTACATGCACATTTAAAATGGATTCAATTAGAAAACTGAGTATTTTATTATTATAAAATATCTCTTTAGAGTTCTAGTAATGTGTATCTCCTTGAAGTCTACTTTGTCTGATATTAGTAGAGTTGTTCCCACTTTGTTTGTTTCCAATGTTTTATATAGATCTTTCTAGACTTAAAATGAGGTTATAGCCCAATAAACCTATAATTAGTCAAAGATATCATAAGTAAAAAATGCGTTTAACACATTTAACCTACTGAACAACATAGCTTAGCCTAGCCTACCTTAATGTGTTCAAAACACTTACATTAACCTAGAGTTGGGCAAAATCATCTAATACAAAGCCTATTTTATAGTAAAGTGCTGACTATCTCATGTAATTTATTGAATAATGTACTGAAAGTGAAAAATAGAATGGCTGTATGAGTACGGGATAGTTGTAAATGTATCAGTTGTTTACCTTTGTGATCACCTGGATGGCTGGGAACTGTGGCTCAATGCTACCACCCAGCATGAGAGAGCATCATACTATATATATTGCTCATCTGGGAAAAGGTCAAAATTCAAAATATGTTTCTCCTCAACGCATATGGCTTTCATACAGTTTTAAAGTCAAAAACTCGTAAGTCAAACCACCATAAATTGGGGACTACCTGTACAAATGATTCCACTGTCTACTGGCTTCTGTCGTAACTTTTGAGAAGGCTGATGTCACTCTAACTGTTGTCTCTTGAGCAATGTGTGTTTCCTCTGCTTGCTTCTAAGATTTTCTTTTTGCTGTCGGTGTGCTGCAGTTTCACCACAAGTGTGTGTAGGTGTGAATTTGATTTTATTTATCCTATTTGAGAATCACTGTTCCTCTTTACCTGTGAGTATGAGTTCTTTCAACAATTCTGGAAAAGTCTCAGCCATTATCACGCAAAATATATTCTCTCTTACAGTCTCTCTTCCTGGGACCCTGATTAGATGTATGTTAAACATTTTATTCTTAATCTTTCTAATTTTTTTTAGCAATATCTAATCTTGTATTTAACCCACTTGTTATGTTTTTTAACAAGTTATTTTTATATCTATATAAAATAAAAATGGTTCTTTAAATCATTTTAAAATGCATACTTGTGACTCCATTTTTCACTTCTTTAAACATTTTCTTTCCTAGTAATTTTTACTTTGCATTTGATAATCCCAATATATGATATCCTCGGGAAACTAATCTGTTGCTTATTGTTTCTGCTGACTCTCACTCATGCTCTCCTTGTTTGTTTGGGGATCTTTGGTTGAGACCTCATATTAATTGATCTCACTCTCTGGATATATTAGTGGCACAAATTAGGGACACTTCCCATGAACATGCATTTGCATTTGCTTGCTAGGAGTCAGGGCACTACAGACCTAGGATCACTCTGGTCACTTTGAGGATCTAGCCTTAATGTTGGAAGTCTCAAATTCAGCTTACTCATCTTTTCTACTATCCTACAGTTAATCCCAAGATTGACTGCTACAACAATATTAGCATTTGCCCCCAAGACAATCGAGCCTATAATGCTTGCTTGCTGCTCCATGCTCCAACATGCAGCTTAAAAAATCCACTAGCAGGGAGAGGAAACATAGGCTAGAGATTTATTTTAATTACTGTGAGGCTGGTAAATGCATTAAAATCCTGCATCCTCTAGAATCTAGCTGTCTCTTAACAGGAGAACTTTCCAGAGTATCTAGTCTAACATACTACCAGAATTGAAGTCTAATTTAGGGTTGCTGCTATTAAGTTGAAAGACGCTTACTGAAAAGGAAGAATATGCTTTTTTCCAGAATATGCATATAATGGATTATATTTTATCTCTATCATCCTTCACTGGTAAAAGTAGAAAACTGAACTTTTAAGACAGCAAAGAAAATGAATGTGTATAGAACCTGGTATGTTAAGAAATGGTAAGCATTACATTTTTTTTTTTTACCTGATTTATTGCGGTCTTGAAGTTGGAAAGCTCGAGTGAGGTCAGTTTTTCGTGAAATCATTCTCTCTTTTAACATCCTGATGGCACTACTTTCAATAGCATTCACCCTATGTTAAGAAAATAACTGTTAGGTGAAAGTTACATAAGTCATTCTGTTCTGTTTCATTTTAATATACTGTGTTGCCACTTAACAGATTCTACATTAAATAAGTTGCTTAACCTCACACATAACATATTATTAGGTGGTGAATGTATTTATATGTACGTGTGCACATGTTTTGTGAAATTTTAAAAGGATTATCACTGGTGTTTTCTTTTTGGTTTCAAAGATTCACATGAACAATTAGTGCATGAGAATGTCCAAGACAAGAAGGAAAACAGAGGGACTTGCTATAGAAGATGCTGGAATTTATCTTAACTTACTTAAAGAGCAGGCATTGACACAAGAGAAGACAGATACATACCTGAATAGAATATAATGGAATTTTCGTAAATACAGCTAACTATATATGGGAACAATATATATGATGAAGCAGGTATTAAAATTCAGTAGAAAAGGACAGTTTTTTAAAGTGGGGGCTAGCATAATTAACTCAATGTCTAGATGCTAAATTTCTACCTCAGACCATTTACAAAAATAAATTTACAATAAAGGAAGAACAGAGGAACAAACTAGTTATCAGTCACATATCCCTCAAAAAAGCAAAATGGCATACGCAAATCCAACCATATCAAAAATGACATCATAGGTGAATGGATAAATAAATTTAAAAAACAGATTGTGAGACTGGATTAAAAAAAAAGATACAACTATATGTTGTCTATAGGAGACACACTTTAGCTTCAAAGATGCAGAGTTTGAAAGGAAAAAGTATACCATGTACACACTGACCATAAGAGAGTTAGAGGCCAAATTAATAGTAAACAAAATAGATTTTAAGACAAAACTTATTACTAGAGATAAAGAGGGATATTTTATAATGATAAAAGAACCAATCAGTCAAGAAAATGGCAATAGCTCCAAATTGATCTACAGATTCAAAATAATCCCTATCAAAATCCCAGTGGGCATTTTTGCAGTTGACAAGCTGATTCTAAAATTCACATGGAAAACAATTAAAAAAGAAGAGCCAAATTCAACTCACATTTCCCAATTTCAAACTTACAAAAAATCTTTACTAATCAAGACAGTGTGTCACTCACATTAGGACAGATACATAGGTCAATGGAGTACAACTTAAAGTCCAGAAATAAACCTATACCTTTATGGTCAATTGATTTTGGACAAGTGTGTCAAGACAGTCAAATAGGGAAGGGATAGTCTTTCTAACTGATGTTGCTGGGACAATTAAATATCTGTATTTTAAAGAATAAAGTTGGACCCCTACCTCATACCACACACAAAAATAAACTCAAAATGAGTCAAATATAAATCAAATGTAAGAGCTTAATTTATAAAGATAATTTATAAAATTATTGGAAGAAAACATAGAATAAATTTTCACGACTGAGTTAGGTAATATCTTCTTACATACATCATCACAAGCAAAGAAGAGAAAATAGATATATTTGATTTCATCAAAATTTAAAACTTTGGTGCTGCAAATAATAACATCAAGAAGGTAAAAATACATCCTACAGAATAGGAGAGACAATTTACAAATCTTCTATCTAAAATCCCTTCATGGATCACAGCCTGTGGTGGTGAAGGGACTTGTATAACTCAATGAAGCTATGAGCCACGCTGTGCAGGGTCACTTAAGGCAGACAGGTCATAGTGGAGAGTTCTAACAAAACGTGGTCCACTGGAGGAGGGGATGGCAAACCACTGCTATGGCAAACCATTGCCATGAGAATTCCATGAACAATATGAAAAGGAAAAAAGACATGACACCAGAAGATGAGCCCCCCACATCAGAAGGTGTCCAATATGCTACTGGGGAAAAGCAGAGGGCAATTACTAATAGCTCCAGAAAGAATGAAGCAGTTGGGCCAAAGCAGAAACGATGCTCAGTTGTGGATGTACCTGGTGGTGCAAGTAAAGTCCAGTGCTGTAAAGAACAATACTACATAGGAACCTGGAATGTTAGGTCCAAGAATCAAGGTAAACTGAACATGGTCAAGCAGGAGATGGCAAGAATGAACATTGACATCTTAGGAATCAGTAAACTAAAATGGATGGGGATGGGCAAATTTAATTTAGGTGACAATTATATCTACTATTGTGGGCAAGAATCCCTTAGAAGAAATGGAGTAGTCCTCGTAGTCAACAAGAGTCTGAAAAGCGGTATTTGGGTGCAACCTCAAAAACAACAGAATGATCTCAGTTCATTTCCAAGGCAAACCACTCAGCATCACAGTAATCCAAATCTATGCCCCAACCACTGATATCAAAATGCTAAAGTTGACCTGTTCAATGAAGACCTACAAGACCTTCTAGAACTAACACCCAAAAAAGATGTCCTTTTCATCCTATGGGATTGTAATGCAAAGGCAGGAAGTCAAGAGATTTCCCAGAGTAACAGGCAAGTTTGGCCTTGGAGTACAAAATGAAGCAGGGCAAAGGCTAACAGAGTTTTGACAAAAGAACACACTGTTCACAGGAAACACCCTCTTCCAACAACACCTAGAAGGACTCTACACATGGACATCATCAAATGGCCAATATTGAAATCAGATTGATTATGTTCTTTGCAGCCAAAGATGAAGAAGCTCTATATAGTCAGCAAAAACAAGACTGGGAGCTGACTATGGCTCAGATCATGAGCTCCTTATTACAAAATTCAGACTTAAAGTAGGGAAAGCCACTAGGCCATTCAGATATGACCTAAATCAAATCTCTTATGATTATACAATGGAGGTGACAAACAGATTCAAATGATTAGATCTGGTAGACAAGAGTGACTGAAAAACTATGGATGGAGGTTTCTAACACTGTACAGGAGGTGGTGACCAAAACCATACCCAAGAAAAAGAAATGTGGGAGGACAAAGTGGTTGTCTGAGGAGGCTTTACAAATAGCTGAGAATAGAAGAAAAGAGAAAGGCAAGGGAGAAAGGGAAAGAAACTCTGAAAGCAGAGTTCCAGAGAACAGCAAGGAGAGATAAGGTCTTCTTAGTGAACAATGCAAAGAAATAGAGGGAAACAACAGAATGGGGAAGACTAGAGATCTCTTCAAGAAAACTAGAGACATCAAGGGAACATTTCATCTAAAGACAGACACAATAAAGAATAGAAACAGTAAGTACCTACCAGAAGGAGAAGAGATTAAAAACAGGTGGCAAAAATACACAGAAGAACTACACAAAACAGGTCTTAATGACCCAGATAACCACGATGGTACGGTCACTCACCCAGAACCAGACATCTGGGAGTGTGAAGTCAAGTGGGCCTTAGGAAGCATTACTACTACAAACAAAGCTAGTGGAGGTGATAGAATTCCAGGTGAGCTATTTCAAATCCTAAAAGATGATGCTGTGAAAGTGCTACACTCAATATGTCAGTAAATTTGGAAAACTCAGCAGCTGCCAAAGGCTGGGAAAGGTCAGTTTTCATTACAATCCCAAAGAAGGGCAATGTCAAGGAATGTTCAAACTACTGGACAACGGCGCTCATTTCACGTGCTAGAAAAGTTAAGCTCAGTATCCATCAAGCTAGACTTCAGTAGTATGTGAACTAAGAACTTCTAGATGCACAAAGTTCGGTTTTGAAGAGGCAGAGGAACCAGAGATCAAATTGCCAACATTCGTTAGTTCACAGGGAAGGCAAGGGAATTCCAGAAAAACATCTACTTCTGCTTCACTGGCCATGTTAAAGCCTTTGACTATGTGGATCACCACAAACTGGAAAACTCTTAAAGAGATGGGAACACCAGACCACCTTATTTGTCTCCTGAAAAACCTGTATGCAGGTCAAGAAACAACAATTAAAACCGGACATGAAACAACGGACTGGTTCAAAATTGGGAAAGGAGTATGACAAGGTTGTATACTGTCACTCCGCTTAATTAACTTATATGCAGAGTATATCCTGCAAAATGTTGGGCTGGATGAAGCACAAGCTGGAATCAAGATTGCCAGAAGAAGTATCAATAGCCTCAGATATGCAGATGATACCACTCTTAATGGCAGACAGTGGAGAGGAACTAAAGAGCCTCTTGATGAGGGTGAAAGAGGAGAGTAAAAAAAGTTGGCTTAAAACTCAACATTCAAAAAACTAAGATCATGGCATCCGGTCCCACCACTTCATGGCAAATAGATGGGGGAAAAGTGGAAGCAGTGACACATTTTATTTTCTTGGGCTGCAGATGGTGACTGGAGCCATGAAATTAATAGACGCTCCTTGGAAGAGAGCCATGACAAACTTCGACAGCGTATTAAAAAGCAGAGACATCACTTTGCCGACAAAGGTCCATCTAGTCAAAGCTATGGTTTTCCAGTAGTCATGTATGGATGTGAGAGTTGGACCATAAAGAAGGCTGAGCACTGAAGAATTGATGCCTTCCAACTGTGATGTTGGAGAAGACTCTTGAGAGTCCCTTGGACTGCAAGGAGATCCAACCAGTACATCCTAAAAGAAATCAACCCTGAACTGGAAGGACTAATGCTGAAACTGAAGCTCCAATACTTTGTCCACCTGATGCAAAGAGCTGACTCATTGGAAAAGACCCTGATGCTGGGAAAGATTGAGGACAGGAGGAGAAGGGGGGTGACATAGGATGAGATGGCTGGATGAAATCACCGACTCAGAGGACATGAGTTTGAGCAAAGTCCAGGTGATCGTGGAGGACAGAGCAGCCTAGCATGCTGCACCCCTTAGGGTTGCAAAGAGTTGTATATAACTTAGCAACTGAATAACCACAATATCTAATAAGTGACATAAATATACGATATATAAACAACTCTAACAATGCAATAGTAAAAAAGTGTAATAACTCAATTAAGAATGAAAAAAGGTGGGAATTCCCTGGCAGTACAGTGGTTAGGACTCTGGTTCTTTCATTGATGGGGCTTGGGTTCAATCCCTGGTCAGGGATCTGAAATCCCATAAGTCACATGGAACAGTCAAAAAAAAAATGGGAAAAGGATCTGAAACAGACATTTCTCCAAAGACAATATACAAATGTCCAATAAGAACCAAAAAGATCCTCAAAGTTACTGGTAGGTAAGGAAATACAAATTAAAATCAAGACCTCACATCCACTAAGATGGCTATAATCAAAAAGATCATAACAAGGGTTATGTGGAGAAATTGGAATCCACATACACTGCTGATGGGAATGTAAAATCATGCATCCCCCTGGAAAAGAGCTTTCAAGTTCCTCAAAATATTAAACATAAGAGTTATTATATAATCCAGTAATTCTACTTTCAGGTATATACCCAAAAGAAATGAAAACAAATATATAACAAAACCTTGTCCACCAAAGTTCAAAACATTACTCATAGTAGCCAAAAAGTAGAAACAATCTACGTTTCTTCTTTTTAAAAGAAATATTTCATTTATTTATTTATTGGCCACGTGGCATGTGGAATCTTAGTTCCCCAACCAGGGATAAAACCCATGCCCCCTGCATTGGGAGCTCAGAGTCCCAACTACTGGACCACCAGGAACTCCTAATCCACATTTTTATTAGCTGATAAATGGACAAAGAAAATGAGGCCTACTGATACAATGGAATGTTATTCAGCCATAAAAAAAAGATTGATACATGTTACAAAGGGAATGCCCCGGAGGAGTGTATGGCAACCCACTCCAGCATTCTTGCCTGGAGAATCCCATGAACAGCAGACCCTGGCAGGCTATATAGTCCATGGGGTCGCAAAGAGTCAGACATGACTGAAGTGATAAGCACATGCACACAATGTGAATGAACCCCAAAAGCAGTGTGCTAAGTAAAAGACGCTAGTCACAAAGACCACATATTATTTAATTTCATTTACATGACATATCCAGAATAGGCAAATCTATACAGAGAGAAAATAGACTGGTAGTTGACTAGAGTTGTGATGAGGGAGGTGATAATGATGAATGACTGCTAATGGATACAAGTTGTCTTTACAGGATGGAACAAACGTTCAACAATTAGATTATGGTGGTGTTACACAACTGGGTAAATATACTAAATATCACTGGATTGTATACTTTAAGCTAGTAAACTGTCAACAAAACTGTTAAAATAAATTATATATGTGTGTATATATATACACACACACACACACACACACAATTAATATGGAGACAATTTTTTACCACAGGTGAAAATCCAAAAGTTATAATGAAATTATAAAAATGTGATTTCATAGAACTAAAGCAATACCAAGACATCAACAAAATATATGCAACATGCCTGTAAAAGTCCTCCATCCCTCAAATGCAAAAAATTCCTAAAAATTTATTAGAAAATGACAAACAGTCCAATATAAAATGGGGGAATATGATAAACAGGAAATTCAAAGAAAAGAAAACGCAATGTCCAAAAACAAGATGGATAAACTCAGCTGTCTAAAAAAATGCTAATTAAAATTGAGATTTACCATTTTTATCCATCCATTTGTCAAAATGAAGAAGTAATAAAATTGGAGATTAATGAGGATGTAGAGAAATTAATATGCTGTTTTCCAGATTGTTAACTATTACAACTTTTTTGGAGTACCTAGCAAAATTTCAAACATATAAATCCCACATTTTAAATTTTATGTTTAGAACAAGCACTAAAAACTTATGAATATGTATATATATGTATGTACACATATACACACAGAGGAATATTTGTTACAGTACTGCTTTTAAGTACAACACCCTGAAACCAATCTGGATGGCCATCAATTGAATATGATTTAGCTATCCATAATTGTTATGGCATACATATAGTATAGAATACTATGCATCTACTACAAAGAATGAGTTATGTCTACATGTATGACTTGGAGTGATATTCACAATATAATCTTTAGGGAAACAGTCAGTTGCAGAATAGACTGAGCAGTGTGATTCTTTGTTAAAAAAAAAAAAAGTATGTATGTTGTTAGTGCCTTTCTCCTTCCACTGGGATATGCTTTGATGATGAAAAAGACTTTTGCCTATTTTTTTAATTTCAATATCACCTGTGCCTAAAACAGTGTCTGACATATAGTAGGTGCTCAACATTTAAGTTCAATGAATGAGAAATTGCTCGTCTATTTTTGTAGAAGCAAGGAGAAGAGGGTGGAAGGGTCCCCTCCAGGCTATTAATTTCAGCTGCCTCTGCAGAAAAACATTACTGAGAAGTACTGGGAGAGATCATTAACATTTTCTTTATACAACTTTGTTTTAGCTCACCTAACAACAAATTTATTTGTTTTAGAATACAAAAATATTAAAAAGATAATATCAAAGGGGGAAAATAAAGGTAAGGTATGAATGCCATCACACAGGGAGACACACTCAACTCCATCATACACACTTCTGGGTAGAGATGGGACAAGGAGGCCAGAGCCAACTGGGTTGTGACTGGGGGCAGAAAAGGCGAGAGCTTGCGGGACTGGGTAGGTGCAGACACCTTCTTTTCCTTACATTCAATTAGGGACTGTTCATGGATGCTGACTGCTTTAGAACTACTGCTCTTGGTTTCAAAGAAGAGCACATTCACCACTTGGTTTCTGGAATTACTTCATTTTGTTTATACCAGTGAGTAACAGGTAAGTTGTTTTCTTCAATCCCAAGCCTGCTCTTAGGCCCTCTGGACTGGTTCTACATAGTCACCAGTACCAGAGCTCAGAAAGCTCCTTAGAGTATACACACCTTTGGTAAAGAGGCCTGAAGCACGTTGCCCTAGTTATTTGGTACTGGAAAAATCGGGGGGTCGTACCAGAACTCATTCTGATGTAAGCTCCTCGATTGCTACCTTCTTCGTAATAATTAGACGCAGAAAATACAGTAATAACCTGGTTAAAGAAAAAGAATGTCAGGTTCACATACAGTTAGTTCTCAAAAGGTCCTTCAGTAAAGTCAGAAACAGCTTAATTCTTAAAAACCAAAAATCATACGAAGTTCAAAATTCATATAAATTATCAAAGTCTAATGGGATTTCCTGTGAATCCATGGGAATAGAAGGTTTTTAAATCATTGTCCCCATGAGTACTAACTTCTAGCCACTCATCCCCACAGTGCATGGCCTTGCAATCCTATGTTCAATTTCAGTTTCTTACTGCTCAGTTTTGTAAATTCCGATTTTCCAGCAGGGTAAAGCTTTTATTTTTCTTTCCTTATGATATTTGAGCATCCAAAATAAAACTTGTGTAATATCACAGTCCTTTTGTCTGTAGCTGGCTGATTTACAGGGCTCAGGGCCCCCATCAAACCAGTGCTTCAAGGTCAGAGAAATAGTGGCTAGATAAGGGACCATGATCACTCTGTTGAGAAGGAACCAGTCTTGGGGGTGTGATGGAAGATGAGGAGTCTTGGGAGCATAATACTTCTTAGTGACAGGAAAGCTGCTTTAGACCTAGTCCTGCCCGAATGTGCAAGTCACTTCAGACAAGCCACTGCTTTTTTCTTTTTAATTATAAATAAACCCTAAAGAATACTTGCCTTACCATCTCGCAAAGGATGAGACTCCAATGAATTAAGACTTAAGAAAAGTGCAAGTGATGAAACAGAAGGAAAGGCCATGAAATTTGGTATTCCTTTTTAATTACTGCTGTTCACTAAGAGAAAGGGGGGGCACCCCAGGACAACTTGGGACCAGAAACCAGCTCCTCAGGCCTACCTCTCTAGCCTATCAGACACCACTGAAGAAGGAGAACACACTCCATTTCAGTGGCTGCTGCCAAACTGCGCCCAGTGAGGGACTCGGTAGAGCTCCCTGTCAGGGAACAGAAGGGCGGTGTGTTTTGTGGCTCTGTCCCGCACAGGCAAGCACAAAAATAAAAGAGAGCAAAGGAGATTCACTGCCACCTTTCTGTGTTCTGGGAGGATACAGACACTCTTCACCCCACTACTGGAGACTTGTCTTGCGATCAGCATGAAACAAAGCCTTTGTGTGTGTACTTAGGGTCCTGTGTCAGTTTCTATCGCTGGGATTAGGAAGATCAGGGAAATAAACCAAGTATCTCTTGGGGTAAGGGACAATGAACCTCCTTCAAACAACCTCTGTGAACCTGACAGTCTCCTGTTCTTGCCTACCAAAGCATGGAGTTCTGTTCTGGGACTAGGGAAGACATCTTCCCATGGCCTTGAGGTCAGACACATCCTGTAAAGAAAGACTAGGCCTCAGGGGAGGGATGTCGGTGAGGAGGTCACCCACACTGTTAGCTTACCTTCCCATCGTGGCAGATTTCATACCCATCAGGCTTACATTCATGAGATCTAACAAGCATCTTCAACTGGTATTTATTAAGAATCTTGGCGGTAACGTCTGGTCCAAAGTAGCAGCCTCCTCCTCGGTTCGTGTTTGGGTAGCAGCCTCTTTTGCCTCTGGGATCACTCCAAAGGATATCGACAACCTAGGAACAACAAACCAGATTAGGCTGCCACTGACAAGTGAGAGTTTATCTTTCTACAGTTCAACTTCTTTTCCAGAAACATTAACCCAAGTTATCACAAAATCTACTATTTCTCACCATTTCCTAATTCTAATCCTCTTTCAAAACTGTTTCATATTCATCTCCTCCATGAATCTTTTCCAAAATAATTTCAATGCCCATAGCCACCACAATCCCATTCTACTCATCCCCAGTAACCAACACAGCAATATTTAGTAATCATGAAGAATCAGCCTTTGGGCTTTTTTAAAATCTACATTTTAAAAGTTCTATCTCCATTATTTCACAATTGCTGAATCTACAAGCTCTTTTCTCTTAAAAAGAACTTCAATGCCATGTTCAAAGGAGAAAGTCATTTCCCACAATGAACACACATTTATTTGTTGTTTTCAGTATGTTCAAACAGATATGCTAGGTCTCCCAGCTATGGTTTTGGCCCTGGTTTTCGTCCTGTTGAATAAACAGCATGAGAAGGCCTTTCCCCATCACAGATATAGTCAACTGTTCATCCAAGAATAGCTTCTAGAGCATCGCCTTCACTTTTTGCCCCACCCCTCCTTGATGAGCTCATTCTCAGCTTCAGCACTACATTTAGCCACTAACTGGTTTCCACAATGTATTCTCTTGAATCCACAAGTATGTTATTAGTATAATATTTCCTTTTCGAGTTGAAACAGCAAATGCAGGCTGCATGATGCTCAGGACTGAAGACCCAAGTTTCTAAGAATTTTTCATAAAATTTGGGGGCTCCCTGTTTGTACCTCTGATCTACATAAAACATTTCTTTATTTAAACATCTCCTACGGGAGCTTCAGCAGTAGTGTGAAAAACTAGATTTAGAGCTAAAGCTATGCAACCTTGGAGATCAAACCAGTCAATCCTAAAGGAAATCAGTCCTGAATAGTCTCTGAAGGGACTGATGCTGAAGCTGAAACTCCAATACTTTGGCCACCTGATGCAAAGAACTGACTCATCTGAAAAGACCCTGATGCTGGGAGAGATTGAAGGTGGGAGGAGAAGGGGATGACAGAGGATAAGATGGTTGAATGGCATCACCGACTTGATGGACATGAGTTTGAGCAAGCTCCAGGAGTTGGTGATGGACAGGGAAGCCTGGCATGCTGCAGTCCATGGGGTCGCAAAGAGTCAGACACAACTGAGTAACTGAACTGACTGATGCAACCTTGAAAAAAATCTCTGGGCCTCATTTTCTTTAAAATCAGAGGTTTGGGCCAGATGATTTGTAAAGTATTGCAAAGTTCTAACAGACTTTATTTTCTAATTTTTCATAGTCAAATAGACTGTATTTTCCACATGTTTCCTTGGAGGGCATGAAGAAGCATGTATTTTTAAGTTGTGTGGTTATTCCAGTGAATCCAAGTCAGATCTTAAAAAGAAGACCATCTCACACCAGTCAGAATGGCTGCCATCAAAAAGTCTACAAACAATAAATGCTAAAGAAGGTGTGGAGAAAAGGGAACCCTCTTACACTACTAGTGGGAATGCAAACTGGTACAGCCACTATGGAGAAAAGTGTGGAGATTCCTTAAAAAAACTGTAAATAGAACTGCCATACGACCCAGCAATCCCACTGCAGGGCATACACACAGAGGAAACCAGAATTGAAAGAGACAGAAGTACCCCAATGTTCACTGCAGCACTGTTTACAATAGCTAGGACGTGGAAGCAATCTAGATGTCCACTGGCAGACAAATGGATAAGGAAGTTGTGGTACATACACACAATGGAATACATTTGAGTCAGTTCTAATAAGGTGGATGAAACAGGAGCCTATTATACAGAGTGAAGTAAGTCATAAAGAGAAACACAAATACTATATATTAACACATATATATGGAATTTAGATGATCCTATATGCAAGGCAGCAAAAAAGACACAGAAGTAAAGAACAGACTTTTGGACTATGTGGGAGAAGGCCAGGGTGGGATGATTTGAGAGAATAGCATTGAAACGTGTATACTACCATATGCAAAATAGATGACCAGTGCAAGTTTGATGCAAGAAGCAGGCACTCAAAGCCAGTGCTCTGGGACAACCCAGAGGGATGGGGTGGGGAGGGAGGTGGGATGGAGGTTCAGTATGGGGGACACATGTACACCCATGGCTGATTCATGTCGATGTATGGCAAAAACCATCACAATATATAAAGTAATTATCCTCCAATTAAAATAAATTAAGTAATCTTAAAAAAGAAAAAAAAGACCAGAAATGGCTGTCCCACTAAACCTGATCCATTTACAGGTTTGGTATTGAAGGGGAGCTAGAAATAAGTGAGGGGAAAGACAGTGAGGTGGAGAGAAAAGAAAAACTGTTCTGGAATGCTAACTATCTCGTCAGAACTGGAGAAACCTTGCACCGGGCATATCCCAAACACTTGAAGATGACTGATTTTTTGATGACTGATTTCAGTGAAAATTAAAACCACACAAAGAAAAGTAGTATCAGGATTCCCCTTTCTCCCCCATCAAATTCTAACATGGGCAGAACCCTACCCTACAAATAAATACAATGAAATCCATTTATTTTGCTGGTGTTCATAACAAAAATAACATTTGCATTTGAAACTGAGTCATATATGAATTTTACACCATGAATTCATGTTTTGGAGACATGATTTGACCTTTAATAAAATGAAAGTGAAAACATGGAACACAAGGAGGTGCATTTTATAAGGAGAGAATTAACTTCTAAATTCCTACATGAGATGCAAGCCATTTACAGCCAAAATTACCCCAGGAAAACATTCTAAATTACTCTTAAAGCACATTATACATGATTTTGTATACGAAACCTTATACAAGCATAGGGATGTGTGAACATTTTATATTTGTGATAATGTACAATATATGAATTATATGAAACTAAAATTTTACACTTTTTTCTCCCTTTTGCCAGATGCATATAGTTGAAATCTACATAAATTAAATGTACATATGCTGGAACTCTGTTGAACTAGAATAAGCACTGGCCATGAAAAGCTCTTCAGGTATGTGTCACCTGGGAACCTACTCGGGCCTTAGCTGACTCCTCAACGAAATGAGGAAGATATAGGTAACATTCACTTTTCTTTGGTTCAAAGTCATAAAAGGTCAAAAGGGGTATTAATTTTATAAAAGTGAGCTTCTTCAGAATCATCCATTCAATGAATTCTGCAATTCTTTTCTTTGTCCAGAATTCATCCACTTGACTAGGTTTACCCAGTCCATGACCACAATACAGATCTAATTCTGAGGCTCACAAAGAATGCTATAAAGGGCCCTTTGCTGGTGAAACAAATTCCTCTGTCTTCTCAACAACACCCTCTCCTCTGAAATGCAAGGGCCTTTGGGGTGGTGAGGGCATGAAAGAGTATTTACAACATCTCTTCCTGAAAATTTTCAGGCCAAAAATTGGAAAGGTTTTACTGAATGACAACTTTTATATGACCTGGTCAACAAAACTCTATTTGTGTCTCAGCCTTTAAACCTCTTAAATCCAAAATAAATCCTGCAAGAAGTGTCCCATGCCTGTCTACAGTTTTAAGTAATCCTGTTTCCAAAAGTATGCTTTGGGGAGAGATACTAACTCTGAAAGATATATTGAAATGCTTCTCTTCTAAGTCACTTATAGTGTAGATTCACTTCTGTATGTTCCGTTAGTTATGTGTCTTCCTTCCAGCTTTTGAACATGTCATTTTAAAAGCTGTGCTCAATTGGGAAGACCCAGAGGGATGGGATGGAGAGGGAGGTGGGAGGGGGGATCAGGATGGGGAACACATGTAAATCCATGGCTGATTCATGTCAATGTATGGCAAAAACCACTACACTATTGTAATTAGCCTCCAACTGATAAAAATAAATGGAAAAAAAAGAAAAATAAATAAATAAATAAAAGCTGTGCTCAGCGCAAACCTTCCAGCAGGTACCTGGATGTCTTCAGAGGCCTACTCCTGTCTACCTATCATCTTGTTGAACAAGGGGAGACTAGACTAGTTCATTTCTTTCCTGAGACCTCCTACCACTCTTGTCATCTTTCCCTTCAGAAAAAGAGCTTGGGCATTAAAGTCAGGCCTGGGATCAAATCCTGCTCTATCATTCAGTGACTAGCCAAGTGACTACAAAATTTAAATTGCAACTGTTTAAAATTACAACTCTGTCCCCTACACCTCAAGTTCATGGTTTCTCCTAACCTGTTCTAGTTTTAATTTTTTCCATAGAACGTCTCACTTAACATATTTTCTTACTATTATATAATTATAAATGTAATATAAATAACATGACTTCATATATACATATATATTTATGTTATTTAGCTCCTATGCCTAGAACGTGAACTCCATGAGGGAAGAGATCTGAGTTTAATTACTTTCTCAAAAGCTTAGAACAGTCCCTGACACATAGTAGGTACTCAACAAATACTTGTTAAGCAAATTAAGAGAAGGGAGTCACTCAGGATATAAATAATTAAAATTATTTTTTAAACCTTTCTGGCCTCCTTCTTACACATCTGTCCTAAAGAAAGAGGTTATGCTTGTTTCTATACAATGACTCAGCTTTGAGTACACATATTCTCCCTACATCTCAGGGAATATAAGATGAAACTTATGTTATAGTCCCCTGCCAGGAATCATGCACTTCCATGATTATGGAACAAACAGCCTATGATCTTTATTGCAATATAGCTCATAGATATTAAGAAATAAAACAACTGTGCTTTTAATCGGAAAATTTCAACTCTAACTAAAGTGTGCATGACCATGACATACTAACAAATGAGGGGAAAAAATTAAAGGTACAATTAAAATTATTAAAATATTGGGAATGAAATCCTGGTCAATTTTACCCTGTGTTAGTTCCAGTCATGTACACTGAGTCTGTAAGACGCCTCATCTACGTTGTTGGAATGAGAGGAGGTTCTATTATAGAATAATGGCCATCAGTTTCCTCCCTTTCACTTCTTAAGGCTCCATCCCTCTATAATTCTAACTCATCCAGACTTCCAGATGCCATGATTTTCTTCTTGTGCAACTCCAATCTTTTTGGCATCATCCTTTTTATTCAACATAACCTTTATTCTTTGGATTATGGATATCAAAATTTAAGAAGGCATCCTTTCCTACTTGCTGTAGGATGCCTCTTATACTTGGTCTGACTTTTAAATATTTTGGATGCACAAGTCAGTGATGAATTCTATTTCTCCCTTACCATCTCTTCCCTCTCCCTCTCTATCCTCCCTCTTCTCCTTCTCCTTATTGATTAGACTATGTTTTACATTTTCTAAAAATCACATATTTTAGTTCAACATTTTCAGCAATCAAGGTATAAGGGTACAGAATCAAGAAATGAAGACTTCTTGGAGGTAAGCAATTAGAAGGCGGCTAGCAGTTTCATAATACTAGTAGCAAGAAGAGACCAGCTAGATGTTTAATTGATAGAATCAGGGAAAGGAACAGATGAGAAAGAACCTTCTGAGGGCCAGAACAAGCCTTGAAGATTGTCAACACTGTCTTTCCTGCAAAGTTCAATTTTAATGTAATCAGATTGTGGAGCTATTCTGTGAGCCTCAGGGCATTATTAAAAACAATAGCATAATCAGCTAGCAATTAGTGAAGGCTAATACTGGGTCTGATACAAAAAGAGGCAGATGGACCAAAGCTTAAAGGAGAAATCAGGGGAAAAGATAGTTGAAGACAGCCTAGTTAAAGCTACAACCATCTGTGGCAGTCAGGGAAACTATGCATGCCCAAGGCAGGACCTCGTGATGCATGACATCAGAAGCTACATACCGAAAAGGAACAGACTTCACCAAATTAGTCCCGACAAGCCAGTAAACAAATAAATGAGCAAAAAAAAAAAAAACAAGCAACAACAAGCCCCAGAGGAGCATGGGAAAAATTAAAGTTACTATATTGCCTAAAATATCCAGTTTTCAACAAAAAATTACAAGACATGAAAAAAAAAATTCACAGGGAAAACTAAGCAGACAATAGAAATTGCCTTTGAGGATTAAGAGTAGACAACAAACTGTGGAAAATTCTTAAAGAGATGGGAATACCAGACCACCTGACCTGCCTCTTGAGAAACCTGTATGCAGGTCAGGAAGCAACAGTTAGAACTGGACATGGAACAATAGACTCGTTCCAAATAGGAAAAGGAGTATGTCAAGGCTGTATATTGTCACCCTGCTTATTTAACTTACATGCACAGTACATTATGAGAAACCCTGGGCTGGATGAAGCACAAGCTGGAATCAAGATTGCTGGGAGAAATATCAATAACCTCAGATATGCAGATGACACCACCCTTATGGCAGAAAGCAAAGAAGAACTAAAGAGCCACTTGATGAAAGTGAAAGAGGAGAGTGAAAAAGTTGGCTCAAAACTCAACATTCAGGAAACTAAGGTCATGGCATCTGGTCCCATCACTTCATGGCAAATATATGGGGAAACAGTGGAAACAGTGAGACTATTTTTTTTGGACTACAAAATCACTGCAGATGGTGATTGCAGCCATGAAATTAAAAGATGCTTACTCCTTGGAAGAAAAGTTATGACCAACCTAGGCAGCATAATAAAAAGCAGAGACATTACTTTGCCAACAAAGGTCAGTCTAGTCAAATCTATGGTTTTTCCAGTAATCATGTATGGGTGTGAGAGTTGGACTATAAAGAAAGCTGAGCGCCGAAGAATTGATGCTTTCGAACTGTGGTGTTGGAGAAGATTCTTGAGAGTCCCTTAGACTGCAAGGAGATCGAACCAGTCCATCCTAAAGGAAATCAGCTCCTGCATATTCATTGGAAGGACTGATGCTGAAGCTGAAACTCCAATACTTTGGCCACCAGATGGGAAGAACTGACTCATTTAAAAAGACCCTGATGCTGGGAATGATTGAAGGCAGGAGGAGAAGGGGATGACAGAGGATGAGATGGTTGGATGGCATCACCAACTCAACGGAAATTAATTTGAGTCCATCACCGGGAGAAGGTGATGGACAGGGAGGCCTGGCGTGCTGTAGTCCATGGGGTGGCAAAGAGCTGAACACGACTGAGTGACTGAACTGAACCGAACTAGCAGACAAGTATTTCAAATCAATTATTATACATATATATAAAACACTTCACTGAATAAGAACAGAATACATTTTCTTCTCAAGAGCACACAGAGCATTTTTCAAGACAGACCATATGCTAGAGCATTAAAAAAAAAAAAAAGCCTCAATAAGTTTTAAAAGGATTGCAATCATGCTAAGTATGTCCTTCAACCACAAATTCAAGTAGGAATAATTAAGAGAAGGAAATAGGAGAAACTCACAAATAAGCAGAAATTAAACAACATATTCCTAAATGACATATATGGTAAAAAGTATAATTAGAAAATTCTCTGAGATGACTGAAAACAAAAGCACAACATAGCAAAACTCACAAGATGGAGCTAAAGCAGTACTCACAGGGAAATCTATAGCTTCATTAGCAAAGGATAAAGAGTTCAAATGAATAACACTTTCACCTTAGGAAACTAGAAAAAGAAGACCAAAATAAATCTAAATCAGAAGGCAAGGAAAAAATAAAGACTAAAGCAGAAATAAATGGAAAGAACAGAAAACAATAGAGAAAAGTAAAAAAAAAAAAAAAATTGATTCTTTGAAGAGACCAATAAAACAGAAAATCTTAGTGAGACTGACCAAGCAAAAAGAGACTCAAATTACTAAAATCAGAAATAAAAGGATGCATCGCTAACAAAGAAATTTCAAAATATATTTTTTAATAAATATATTTCATATATATGTATATGTTACAATCAACTTTAGGCTAACAAATTAGATAAACTAGATGAATGGACAAGTTTCAAGAAAGACACAAACTATCAAGGATACCAAGATACAACTACTCAAGAAGTAAAAAATCTGAATAGAACTATAGCAAGAAAGAAGACTGAATTAGTCATTTTAAAACTGCCTACAAAGAAAAAAGCCCAGGCTCAGATGGTTTCACTGATGAATTCTACTACACATTTGAAGAATTAACATCAATCCTTCACACAAACTCCTCCACAAAATAGAAGAGGAGATAATACTTCCTATCTCATCCTATGAGGTCAATTTTACAATAATACCAAAGACATCACAAGAAACAAAACTATAGACTAATATCCTTTATGAATATAAATATAAAAATCCTCAAAAAGTAGCAAAATGAAGCCAACAACAGATAAAATGGATTATATGCCATGACCAAGTGGGATTTATCCCAGAAATGTAAGATTGGTTTAACATCTGAAATCAATGTAATACACCACATTAGTAGAATAAAGAACAAACAATAACATGATCATCCTAACAGATACAGAAAAGCATTTGACAAAAGTCCAACACTCTTTCATGGTAAAAAACACCCAAGAAAGTAGGCACAGAAGAGAAATTCCTCAATTTGATGAGGGATAGTTAACACATAAACAAACAATATACTTAATGGGAAAAGACTGAATGCTTCCCCCTAATATTAGGAATTAGACAAAGATGTCTACTCTGACCACTTCTATTTTTCAACACTGTATTAGAGGTTCTAGACAGGACAATGAAGCAAGAAAAAGAAAAAAAAGGCAGCCAGATTGGAAAGAAAGAAGCATGTTCTTGTTTATATTTAATACAAAGTCCCAGGGAATCCACTAAAAACCATTAAAATAAACAAGTTTATCAAGGTTCACAACATGAGATCAGTATATAAAAGTCAATATATACAAGCAATGAACAATCCAAAATGCAATTGAGAAAACAATTCTATTTAATATAGTGTCAAAAGTATTTGGGAATAAATTAGGAATAACTTTAACAAGTATTTCCATGTATGTTATTACAAAGCACTGTTGAAATGAAAAATCTAAACAAATGGGAAGACATCACACATTCATGGAATTAAAGATACAATATTGTTAAGATTGCAATAGTAACTAAATTGATCCACAAACTCAAGGCAATCCCTACCAAAATTCCAGCTCTTTTTTTTTGGTAGAGATTGACAAGCTGATTCTAAAATTCATATGGAAATTCAAGGGACCCAGAATATTCAAAACAATCTTGAAAATGAAGAAAGCTGGAGAACTCACACTTTCCAGTTTCAAAGCTTTCTACAAAGCTATACTGATCAAAACTGTGTCATCCTGATATAAGGATAGACATATAGATCATCGGATAGAATCAAGAGTTTAGAAATAAACCTTCATATTTATGGTCAATTGATTTTTCATAAGGGTGCCAAGAAAACTCAATGAGAGGAAGTCTTTTTAACAAATGGTGCTGGGATAATTGGATATCCACACGCAATAAAATGAATTTGGACACCTACCTCACACTATCCACAAAAATTAATTCAAAATGGATCAGACACCTAAATGTAAGAGCTGAAACTATAAAATTTTCAGAGGAAAACACAGGAATAAATCTTCACAATTTGGGGTTAGGCAATGGCTTCTTAGATACAACACCAAAACTCAAAGCAAAAGCATTAATCTTTTATTCTGACTGAGTAAAAGGAGCCAGAGACAAAAGATCACACACTGTATGAGTCCTTTTCTATAAATGTCCAGAACAGACAAATCTACTAAGACCAAAAGGTCTAATCTGCGGGGATGGGAAGAGAATGGGAAATGACTGGTAATAGGTATGTGAAGTTCCTTTTTCAGGTGATGAAAATATTCTAAATTTAGATTGTGGGGATAGTTGTACATTTTGAATATACCAAATTCAATGAATTATATACTTTAAGTGAGTGAATTATATGGTATTTGAATGATATTTCAATTAAGCTGTTAAATATAGTAATGGATTTAGAGAAAAGGATATGATCTGCTTAGAAAGGTAAGTCACTTATATATTATTAGGGACAAAATCATCTACACTGCATCTTCACTGCCACTTTAGTGAACAGTCTGATTACTTACCTGCTCCCATTCCTGCTTTGTTAATTGTTCAGAAAAGGATCCACTTGTTCTGATTCCCTGAGCCACAATGGTTGTACCCAGTTTATTTTTCTTCTCAGCACAATCTCCATCCATTGGAATTGGTGGCATCAGCACAGATCTCATCTACAAAATAAATTCATGCTTTAGCCAAACCCTATGCTTAGTGTGCTACATGTAGAAACTTCAGCACTAGTTGCTATTTTGTCTATATTATTGTGCCTCAACTCAATGGAAAATACATGACCACCTGTTCCATCTCACCTACCTCCTTCATCTTACTGATGCACTGATCTCTATATACTGAGCCTGTTAAGCTCTGTTTGTACATTTTTCAACTAGAGACACTGTCTTACAGGGAAAGTTCCCCATTAGAGTTTCTGAAAGACCCCAGAGGCACAGATGTCAGTGGAGACATGTTCTTTGGCGTTGTGATGGGAAATGGAAGATGCTAAGGGAAAACTAGTCTCCCTCTGACCCTTTATCTATACATGGAGCTAAGAGAGAACTAATAGGCTTGGAGTTCAGAAACACCTCTTAAGAGGATGACTGCTTTTCTTTTTGTTGTGTTTTCCAGGAGAAATGAGAGAAAGTACATCTATGTCCAAGGAAGTTCACAAAGGGGACATAAATTGAAAACTTTGGAAGCCTTCTGACAAGTGCACTGGGTTCTCAGTCTGACCTGCCAGCAACTGAACATTACATCTAATCCTAGTAACAAAGGTGATGTATTTCTCTGGAAACAAAATGTCTTTCTGATAGTACATCAATTACTATAATCCCTTCTATGTTCCCTTACATAATTTGAGACTGCAATTTTATACTTGTTTCTTTGTAGCACCACACCTTTATACAAAACAATTTGAAGCAATGGTTCTATTACATTGGAAGCCTTAGTTCAGTGATGAATAATTCTCTGAGGTAGGCACTTAAGTTTCTTCTATAAACTAGGGTGTATATAAAATCTTACCTTTATTTTTCAAAAATAAAAGCAAACCATATTCTGAGGTCCTATCTCATTGAGATGGTTGGAATTCAATTTCAGCTATTATTAGTGAGCTGGGCTTCCCTGGTGGCTCAGAGGTTAAAGCGTCTGCCCGCAATGCCGGAGACCTGGGTTCGATCCCTGTGTCGGGAAGATCCCCTAGAGAAGGAACTGGCAACCCACTCCAGTATTCTCGCCTGGAGAATCCCATGGATGGAGGAGCCTGGTGGGCTACAGTCCATGGGGTCGCAAAGAGTCAGACACGACTAAGCGACTTCACTTCACTTCACAGCCTACCTCCCTGTCTCCCCCCCAGCAAATGTCTCCAGGTCTTAGGCAGAGCAGAGTATTTTGGGAGGACACTCTGGACTTAGGTCTACACAACTCACTTCTGATAAGGTCATCGGGCAGGACAAAGCCACACAGTCTCTTAAGTACTGTGTCTCTTCTGTTTTCAAGGCCATGTGGGATCGGGACACTTTGCCCAGTCCCTGCTGGGTGCCACATCATCATTTTCTCCTGGGGGTCCTACTAGCCATCTCTTCCCATAACCTCTGCCAAGGAGTTTGAAGAATACTAAACCAGAGGCTTAAGTATTATAGTCTTCCTTCTCTGTCCCTCTGCATTCACCATCCCCCCTTCCCAACCTGCCCACCTTACAAAATACCTTTAATGAACCTGCAGTGGAGGTTGTCATCGAGTTCCCCCAATTCTACCCCTCCCCCATGAACAACTAAATCATACAGCAGGTGTGAACCAGGAAGCATGTTCACCCCTATATTTGGAGGTCCAAACAGACGGGCAAGTGGGGGTTATAAAACTAACTTGAAAATCTGTTTTTGTATCTCATCTGGTAGAGTTCCAAAAGGCTTAAACCTACTACTTTCATTACAGTTCAATTATATTTCACACAAAGAACATGTGCTACCAGTTCAACTTCATTCTAGCAGGGTAGACAAAAAACATACAAGTCAAATTTCTACCTTTAAAGCCAGTCTTAACAGTATGTGGAACAATGATCCCCGAAGTGGGTGTAATGTGAGGTATCTTGGGAAAATTTCTGGCCTCAAAATTTCTCCCCAGGGTCTCTCTTGGTGACTGAAATTTAAACCTCAGTTTTAAGTATCATGAAAAAGAGGACAGAGTTGGAGAAGAGAGCTTTATGTTCAGAGCTTACTCTCTGCCATATTTTTCATCTAGGTGGTTATATTTAATCTTCCCAGCAATCCAATATGGTAGGTATTTTTTAGCTTTAGTGCATAGATGTGGGAACTGAGGCTTAGAAATCATTGGTACCTTACCCAGTCACCCAGCCAGGAAGGGGTAGAAGCAGGATGTAATAGATGTAATGTTAGCTACATCTGTCTGATGTCAGAGCTTCACAGTGTTTACTAGGTTAAGGTGGCTCTCAATTTAGGGTCTCCACAGAAGTAGTAACGGACATTTCAGAGAAACGCTGTTAATATCTCAAAAAGCCCGAGAGAGAACTGGCTTCTCAGGCTAACCTCAGGAAAGGAAAAGTTTTCAATCTGATCAATTAGTAGTGGCTGCCACGGCTGATTAGTGCTGTTGTCACAGGGCCAGTGGTGGTGGATTGCCGCCTTCCCACCATGTGCTTGCCAATATTTGACTGACAAAAACATCATGTTCCCTTGCTCTTGGCTAGAATCATATCCACTCATTATGTTAACAATTACTGTCTCATGTTGATTCAAACATCTTATTGGCTTGACTATTTGCTGAGATCCTAAGAAAGGTACCTTAAATTCGGGTGGCCTTAAAATTTATTGCAACTGGGATACTTCTGAGAGTAAAGGGAGGTGGTATTAACACTTACACCAAGACAACAGGTGTAAACCAGGAAGTATGGTCATCACTGGGTGAGGCTGGGGAGGGGCTATGTAAAATCAGTACAGAATCAGGAAAGGAGTTGTAAAAGTTTTTATCCAGTTTTACCTTAGGTTTGCCCTACCTCAGTCTTAAATCTCTTAGGAAATATTCAACAAACATTAATACTGACTACATCTTAGGTGCTGGAGTTATATCAGTGAACTAGAGAAGCAGGGGAAGGTGGTAAACAAATAGTACCACAATCGCTTATTTAATTTTGGTAACTGTTATGAAGGATAGGTACAAGGGGCTTGAGAGCATACGGACGGGGACCTGATCTAGTCTGGAGGTCATGGAGGGCTTTCCAGGGGAGGGGTATGTTTAAGCTGAAATTAGAAGAATGAGAAGGAGTTGGCGACAATATAATCATTCATAGGTATTTAAAGGTATAAGGACTCTTAAAAACTCAAGGTGAACAGGAATCACATGTCCACATCAAATTAAATTCTAGTTCTAGATTCCCCTTGCACAGATTGGTAGGAATTTGCTTAACAGTCCTGAGGAGCAAGGTTCAGGTTTCTCACTAGGACTGCACATGATCACCGGGCTCAGAGCTGCCACTGGTCGTCATGCCCAGGTGGTTCCCCTGTCCCCCTAGTCTGGGGGCCTGTCCCCCTAGTCTGGGGGCATTGGCTGGGCTCTTGACATGCGGAAGGCAATTCCAGTCACTCTGCAAAGCCCCAGCAAAGAAGCCTTTCACTAAGCCTCAGAGCTTCAGGCCCCACACAGCCATTTCCCTCAGAGGGTCGATACATATTCCTGCTCTGCTTCTGCTGTATTGAATATCGTTACTTAGGATTAAAATATTAAACTACTCCCCCCCAAAAAATATCCTGAGCCATTTGGAATATATATGGGAAATCACACCAATTCACAAACTGCTGTATGATTCTACTTCTATAAGGCTCCTAGAGGAGTCAAATTCTTAGAGCTATAACACAGAATGGCGGCTGCCAAGGGCTGGGGAAGGTGGAACTGGGAATTAGTGTTTAATGGGTAGTTTCAGTTTGGGAAAATGGAAAGTTTTAGAAATAGATGGTGGTGACAGTAGTGACGGTTGCACAATAATGTGAAAGTACTTAATGCCACTGAACTGCACACTTAAAAATCGTTAAAGGGGTAAACTTTATGTTGGTATATTTTAAAACATTAATTAATTAGAAATTTTAACTTTTCAAAAATCAGGATTTTTCACTTTTAGAAACTATTATGAAATGCCAATATTTTCCCACTTTCACCATGAATTTTTAAAAATATATTTTCCATATATAGACGTTGTCAATTTAGTTCTTTATCATGCAATCATGGATTTTCTTAAAATTTTTACTCATTTTTTCAGAGTTACAACAATCACTAAAACACGGATCTATATAAAACAATACATGAAAGGAGGTATGTATCCCTTTGTAAATCTCTGAGATGACATTCATGCAAACATTGTTTCTTACTTTGTTTCTTTCTAAACGGTGGAGTAAATTCAAGTCTGTGGACTCTGATATCCCTCCATGTATGACCAGGACTTCATTGTCAATGATTGTACCAATTGGGAGCCAGGTATAAACCTCTTCCAAGATTTGTAAGATTTTTTTTCCGTGCAGCTGTAAGTAAGAGCTTGAGTAAGTTTGTTTTTCTGATAGGTTCAATTTTACTGAATAGTCCCAACATATGGACAAAAACCAACAGTTTTCATGCCACCCAAACTAGGTCAGGATGGACACACTAACCAACAAGCATGCATTAATCACATCTTTTAAATTTTTTTTGATACTTTGACTTGCTGACCCAGGGGAAGAGACTGCCCCTCCCAAGACTAGTTAATTCCTAGAGACAGTAAGGAGTTGTCTTTTGTATGTAAAAAGGGGTGCCTTTTATATGCAAATCAACCCACCCAGAGCCCATCCTCCCAACTAGTCCTTTACAGATTTAACCAGCCTGCCAATGCAGGAGACACGAGAGACGTGGGTTCCATCCCTGGGTCAGAAAGATACCCCTGGAGGAGGGCATGGCAACCCACTCCAGTATTCTTGCCTGGAGACTCCCACGGACAGAGGAGCCTGGTGGGCTACAGTCCATGGGGTCACAAAGAGTCAGACACAACTGAGCACAGCACACCCAGGGCCACTATTTCCTGCTCCAATCACCCCAGGGCCAGCCAGATACCAGGCAACTGTGGACAGCTTGTAAGTCCCAGAGCCTGCTGAAATTACTCAAATGAGCCAATCCTAAATCTGCTTACACTGCCTCACCCATTTCTTCCTGAGAAAACCACAATAAAGGCTCTTGCCACTGCCTCTGACTGACCCTGAGGTGCAGCCCCATATGGTGTGGTGTACCACTGACTTCAGTTTCTAAGGAATTGTGAGTAAAAACCTTTCCCTTCATGACAGTCATTTCCATGTTTTACCAAACCTGAGTAAAACAAATCCCAGGTATCTTTGAAATAACAGAGTTTGTATCTGTGTTAAAACTCACACAGAAGTTACAATGAAAAAGCTTGGTTTAGTCCAGAAAGAAAAACAGGTCTTCACCATGGCCAGGGCTTCCTTTTGTGCTTTTATTGGCCCGGATTCTGATTAATTCTCCCATCACCCTTCTTGAAGCTTTTCCTTTTTTAAACTTCTATGTATAAACAGCAAAGAGGATGTAAAAAAAAAAAGTAGATGAGTCTTACCTTATATTTATGTAAAATTTCTTTCGTGAAGCCATACCTGAAAAAAACAATGGGATTTCAACTCTGTCACTGAATGCTGAGAGTTCCCTGTAACTCCCACTTACGTGAGTCAAGTCATGCAAAAAAGCAAGTCCTTAACATCTTACTATCACAAGTATCAAGAACTCAAGCAACTAGACTTCAGTTGGAACTATTACTTACTCAAGTCTTTGCTAGGCACTATGGGAAAGAACAAAGGCAGCTGATGATGTCATCCCTACCCTCAAGGAGTTTAGAGTATAGCTGGGAAAAGAAGATAAATTTTCATGAAACCAATACAAGACATCTTAAGAAATATGTGGTAGGCACTGGTGTCTAAGTACTGCAAGTATCCACAGTGTGCTGTGGCCACTGAGGGAAGGTGTGTGGGAGAATGCTTTTCATTTATATAGAATTTCTCAGACATCCTATACCTTATGGTAAATGAATGATTAGGAGGGAAAAAAGACCAAACAAAGAAAAGCCTAGAAGGTAATAAGTTGGTTCTTAATACTCTCTCTGACATAGCTCATGTAATGGTATTGAAGGTTTTAATAAAAAGTATCAGGAAGTTTAATGCCTGAATAGTAGTCACTAAAAGGGATTTAATGATGAGATTTTTTCCCAATACTTTCTTTGCCTTAAGATAATAATATATATCTTGAAGTATAATAATATATCTTGAATAATATATACCCAACAAAGTGAAGTCAGAATGCAGCATACTCACTCCAGATTTCCACACAAATCATGTCATGTGAAGCTTCTACAGTGTAAATGATGTTTCCTAAAATGAACTCAGTCCTGCCTATTCAACAGCACCTCAAATCAGCTTACCCCCAACTGAACTCATCATTCTCCCTCAGCCCACCTTTCTGCTCTTATCATGTCCCCAATATCAGTGATATTGCAAATTCAACCTAGGAACCTGGAGGTCATCTTGATTCTCTCTTCTTTCAAGTCCTCCATATCATGTTACCAAGCCTTAAAAAATGCCTAAACTCCTCTTGAATCTACTTCTTTGTGTCTCCATCTCCCAGTCTAAGTGAGAACCCATCATCTATCTCTTCAACTCTTATATTTCCTACTGGCATTCCCATATCCATTCTTGTCCCTCACCAAACTACTCTTATTGCTGCATCTTACAACACAAATTTTATAATACTCCTCAATGATTTTCTCCTGTCCTCAGAAGAAAGCTCAAATTCCTCTGCAATAATTTCTTACGTCTCCAGCCCTATCAGGTACCATCCTGTTCTTCAGTTTATGCTTCTCCTATTCTGAACTTCTTTCAAGTCTAAAAAGGCCTTTCTCAAGCTCTGCCTAAATTGTCTCTTCACTGTGGAACACTGTTTCCCATCCACTCCTGCCATGGTCCTCTCTTGGTTTCCTAATTCATCCTTCAGGTCTCAGGCTAATGCCATATTTCTACGGGAGAACCTTCCAACCACCCCTCAGACAGGCTGGATCTCCCTCTTTACAAATTCATCACACTTGAAAAACCTGCTCAACTTGTGCCTTCCCTGCTAGATGTAAATTCTAGGAGGGCAGGGGCCATGTCTCTTTCAGTAACCATTCAGCACTAGATGCTGAAGCTGAAGCTCCAACACTTTGGCCACCTGATGCATAGAGGTAACTCACTAGAAAAGTCCCTGATGCTGGCAAAGATTGATGGCAGGAGGAGAAGGGGGTGACGGGAGATAAGATGGATGGATGGCATCACCGACTCAATGGACATGAGTCTGAACAAACTCTGGGAAATGGTGAAGGACAGGGAAGCCTGGCATGCTACAGTTCATGGGGTCACAAAGAGTCGGACAACTTAGCGACTGAACAGCAACAACAACAAATAGAACTGAATAGCTAAATAAATGGAAGAATAAATGGTATGCCCAAATAAATGTTTTGAGCTATATTACATATATGTATTGAGCTATATTGTGTATATATATGTATAGCCTCTGAAAATAGCCTTGGGATTTTTTTCCTTCATATTTAGCATTTTCTTCCAAACCTGAGGGTTAGAATTGAAACTCTTGTTTTCAGGCCAAGTGCCAAAACTGCCCTAAAGAGAAAACTCATCAGTTGCTGAGCTTTGATTCAGGCACTCAAAAGCCCAGGACTGAAGCCTCTAACATGCCATGCCTTCTACTTCCCTAGTGCAAACTGGATTGTTTTTTCATAAAACAAGAAACAAGAGGAGGAGAGGAAGAAGGGGAGGAAGGGAAAGGAGAGAGGAAGAGGAGGAAAGAAAGGAAAGAAGAACATCTGTCACTTACTGTGCCTTTCACAGCAAAAACTGGTAAACCACTTAACCAATCTTTATTCCCCAAACTTCCAGTGAGTCAGATAGCTGAAATGCTATGTTACAGCTGTTCTCAAATATGTTTATGAACAACTATGCCAGAAGCAATCACCATGTCATAAAAAAAATATACACATTAGTGAAAAACACAGTACTAGTTTCCGAGACAACTTCTGAGGCAAGCCAAAAGAGTATCGAGAGAATGAGTCCATCTAAACCTGCTCAACCACACCTCCAAACCTGGCCTAACATGTCTAGAAAGCACATAATTTGGCTTGGGAAGGGTGGGCATGGGAGGAAGAACAAAATAGAAGGGAAAAGGAAGGATTGGAAGAAAAGATAGGAAGGGAATTTTAGAGCAATTTATACTCACACAGTAGAGGATTGAGGGAGGTAAACTGGGGTAAGAACTGAGATCTTCCTTGAAATTCTCATCCCTATTTCTCTACACTCACTTCTAACTCTCTGCTAGGAACTAAACACGGTAGCATCTTCCAAAACAGGAAACAAAAGAGGAAATCTATAGGGCTAGGTTACCTCATATTCATCATAAAATCCTCATGGTTGCCTCTGTTCAAGTGCAGGTCATTTGGGTACACAAGAAAACTCACAAACAGGATCATTAGGATCTCCATGGAATTTTTTCCTCGATCTACAAAATCACCATTAAAAACATATGGGTTGCTCACTGAAGGGAGACCATTCTGTGGAAGGAAGAGGGGGGAAAAGGAGCAGTTAAAAGAATGTACTTTTAAAAGTAAGGTTTTGTATTTAACGTTCACGTGGATATGGAGAAAAGAGGCTGAGTCAGTTCTTCCAGTGGGAAAAATCTGCTCACCCACTCAAGCCAATTTTACTTTTCCAGGGCAAGGGTGAAAGGTTTCACTCTTCTCCTGCAAGAGACCTTTTGGAAGTAAAGAATTAGCTTGGGACAGGTACACCAGGGGGATGGCTCATCTTACTCACTTCCGCACATGAAAACTATGAGTTTTCTCTGAAAGGACCTGATAATTATCCTATTAAAAATGGATTCTTTCATCTCTTCCTTGGGTAGAAGACGGAAAAACATTGAACTAAGAGCCAGAAGTCGTTCATTCTAAGGGACCCTCTGTTTAATTTCTCGAGGCTGTGATTTTCTCAATTTGTAAAAAGAACCCCATCCCAGATCAAAAATGAGAGACAGGATATGAAAGTACTCAGGAAAGTGTAAGGTACTGTCCAACTGTGAGCAGAGCTCATATACCATTGGTCCACTCTGATACAATTACACCAGGTGTTGGAGGCATGTGTTCTTGACTGCTCACCAACCAGAGCCGTATTTGTTGTTTAATATGTTGATTACCACTCCTGAGCATAATACTTTAAAATAAAGTGTTAGCATAAAAAAGGACTGGGATTAGGACAAAGGTCTGGTCTTTATGGCAGCTATTCTTTCCTTTACTTCTGTACTAGTAAACTCTAAGATAAAACACACCATGCCTGGTAGAGAAATGGTTGAGTGCATTTTTATTGCATAGTAAGATAATTCAAATGTCTAAAAAATACATTACAAAAAGAAAATTTTAAGTACTCATATATTCTAATATATGTCCTCTTTCAAAAAAGTTACCTTCGAGAAGTAATTCACATATTCTAGTTATATTAATTTTTTTCAAATGATTTTCGATTTTCTCTTTTGTTAGGTTTCAAATTATGTAAGAAAATATTATTACTTTATACTCACCACCTAGTATTTATATACATTTTAAATTGTTCATATCAATATGACAAAAATAGTTGAAAAAATAAAATACAAGTTGTAGCATATAACTTGGGAATTCCAGAAGTAACTATGCAACAAAACATGTTCTGAAGGCAACTGGAAAAGAGCAAGCAGTGGTGTAGTGTTCTGGCCCAGAAGACTTATTCTCTAATTCAGCTCCACTATTACCCATGTGTCCCTGGGCAAGTTATTTGATCATTATGAACTCTAGTTTCCTCATATGTTAAATGATAACTTCCATGCTTATCATACAGGGCTACTTTGGAACTCACATGAGACTGTAGTATGTAAAAACTACAGTGTGCTTTTACTATAGTGTGTAAAAACTATAAAGCACCACACAAACTAAGAGATTCATTTTATTATGACCTCCATGTTATTTCTAACTTTACAACCCCACCACTTTATATTTTCTTATACATGAATTCACATAACCTATTCACACTGGGCTTAGATAGTGTGAGCCAATTATAAAAATATAGGCTACTGTTCATCAAAACATAAAGGAAAAAGGAGTGATTCTGCATCTCTAATACTCTTCCTCCCCCCAGACTTCAGCTGGCTGCCATGAGTAACCTGGTGAAGTCTGAGGAATGCTGGAGGCTATAGATTTTATCGAGATGTCCAGGACTGAAGGGGGCTTACAGAGCAGCAGAGAGCTGTGGAAGAACTAGGCCTGAGGGGACATGTAGACTCTGTGATTAAGGGGACACTTTGTCTCAGAGCATGTGTGTGGTCTTGGTTGAGGGGGGAGGGATCTGGATCTTACAGGAAAGGCAGAAGAACTTTCACATCTCTGAAACTAAAAGAATACTAACACATGCATTTAGAGACACCTAGGAACACAGAGACTTCTTCTCACACTCTTGATGCAGAAGCAGAAAGTGTTGTTGTGCCTCCAACTATGGAGAAGCTTGGCCTAGCTTAAGCAGAAAATTTAAAATGGAAATAACATCATATTTAAGAGGATCCAGTAACCACAGAGGCAGACCAATCAGACCTACTAAAGTACCATCCCCTAATGAGGTAACAGTGCTGGAGGAGACAGAGGCCAACCTTTTTTAAAAATGAGAGTATCATGAAATAAAGAACAGAAAGTCAGTAATTCCTGGCATTAAAAATATGCTATTGAAATTTAAAATATCAATAGACTAGTGATAACTAAAAGATAGAATGGTTGAAAAATACATTGCTGACCTGAAAGAGCAAGCAGATGAAAAATCTCTCACAAAGAGCAAAAGGCAAAATAATGGAAATCATGAGGAATGAATAAGAGATTAGAGTTCAGAGCCAAGAGAACTAATATGCCAACAATAAGCATTCAAGAATCAGGAAAAAGGAACAGATGGAGAAGAGGCAATAATTACATAAATAAGAGAGGGAATTTTCTACAGTTTATTTTTTTTAATTAATTAATTTATTTATTTATTTTTTTATCACAACCATAGTGTATCTTTTTTTTTAAATTTATTTATTTATTTTTTTTTTTCACAACCATAGTGTATCTTTTTTTTTTTTTTTTTTACATGTATTCCCCATCCCGGTCCCCCCTCCCACCTCCCTCTCCACCCAATCCCTCTGGGTCTTCCCAGTGCACCAGGCCCGAGCACTTGTCTCATGCACCCAACCTGGGCTGGTGAACTGTTTCACCCTAGATAATATACGTGTTTCAATGCTGTGCTCTTGAAACATCCCACCCTCGCCTTCTCCCAGAGTCCACAAGTCTGTTCTATACATAGGAGTCTCTTTTTCTGTTTTGCACATAGAGTTATCGTTACCATCTTTCTAAATTCCATATATATGTGTTAGTATACTGTAATGGTCTTTATCTTTCTGGCTTACTTCGCTCTGTATAATGGGCTCCAGTTTCATCCATCTCATTAGAACTGATTCAAATGAATTCTTTTTAATGGCTGAGTAATATTCCATGGTGTATATGTACCACAGCTTCCTCATCCATTCGTCTGCTGATGGGCATCTAGGTTGCTTCCATGTCCTGGCTATTATAAACAGTGCTGCGATGAACATTGGGGTACACGTGTCTCTTTCAGATCTGGTTTCCTCGGTGTGTATGCCCAGAAGTGGGATTGCTGGGTCATATGGCAGTTCTATTTCCAGCTTTTTAAGAAATCTCCACACTGTTTTCCATAGTGGCTGTACTAATTTGCATTCCCACCAACAGTGTAAGAGGGTTCCCTTTTCTCCACACCCTCTCCAGCATTTATTGCTTGTAGACTTTTGGATAGCAGCCATCCTGACTGGCGTGTAATGGTACCTCATTGTGGTTTTGATTTGCATTTCTCTGATAATGAGTGATGTTGAGCATCTTTTCATGTGTTTGTTAGCCATCTGTATGTCTTCCTTGGAGAAATGTCTGTTCAGTTCTTTGGCCCATTTTTTGATTGGGTCATTTATTTTTCTGGAGTTGAGCTGGAGGAGTTGCTTGTATATTTTTGAGATTAATCCTTTGTCTTTTCTACAGTTTAAAACGAGACTTCACCCTTAAGTTTGAAAGAGCTCATGACTCCTGTTTTCAATGAACGTGTACTGATTGCTTGTTATGTACCAGACATAGTTTTAGGTGTTAGAAACATAGAAGTCCCTGCATTCAAAGAATATGCATTTAAAGAACCTATCATCCACATGTCCCACAGAGGAAAACACTCAAGAACATATTTTAACCAAATAACAGCAGTAACAATAAAAAGTCCTTAAGCCTGGGAAGGACTAAGAGAAAAGATCAGAGTTGTGAACAATAAACCTTGCAATACATAATTAAATATAAATCAATAGCAATAATGTATAAATTGTGTTCTCTGAAACAGCTAACAGAAAAACCTAAATGAACTTTTTGGCCAACCCAATACAAAACAAGGATTCAAGAAACAGAAGAGATGTACTATGAAGGAAATCTGATAATCGTCAAGAACTAAAAATCTGGCATGAACCAAAACTAAGGATTTGTAGGGGATGTAAAGGGAGAAAAGTAAAATTCTCTACAAATCTCATCTGAATGGGGAATGTACATGGAAAGTGTGAAAACAAATATATTTACCTTACTGGAGGAGAGAGAGGATAATGAAGAAGGAATAAAGTTATAGCTATTTGGGAAGTATACACACATACATCATTTATTAGAAATGTCAGGAATAGGAAGATAACAACTAATGAATAGGAAAGCATGGTAAAAACACCAAAGAAAACAATAATTTAAAAAACTTCACCAAAACAGCAAAAAAAGACTACTTTAAAGCACAAAACTCCAAGTATCTATAGTTTGTGAGAAATACACATGAAAAAAATAGAGAGAGACTGAAAGCAAGGTAAATGTAACAAAGAAAAGGTAAAAATGAAAATATTAATATTTGACAAAGTGGAATTTAATATTCAAAGTACTAAAAATTATCACAAAGCAACATTATATCATAATAATGGCCACTTTATGAAGAAGGTTCAATTTATAAACTTGTATTCAACAAACGAAAGAACAAGTTTTTGCTTCATATATTTACTATAAATGCAAGAAGAAAATTTTAAAAAACACATAGTAAATTATTCAAACATATTTATTGGTTTAAAATAATGTCCACAAATTATCTGATACTCCTTTTAAAAGGTGAAGCCTAACACCACTCCCTGAATGTGGGCTGGACTTAGTGATTTGCTTCTAAGGAAGGAATAAGAAACAAAAGCAGGAGTGCTGTTGTACAACTGTGGAGACTAAGTCATAAAAAGAGACTGCAGCCTCCTATCTGCTCTCTTGGATCACTCACTCTGGGAAAAGCTATTGCTCTGTCATGAGAACACTCAGGTACCCTGTGGAGAGGACCATGTGGCTGTTCTGTCAACAGCCAGCAAGGAACTGAAAAGCTGTGTCTGCAGCCATGTGAGTCAGCAATCTTGGAAACGGGTCCACCAGGTCCAGTTAACCTTACAAATGAC